ACGGTAGACCATGTAGACTCGGATATTTCTATGGACGCTTTGCTCTTCCTCGGAAATGGCAGGCTACCCAACAGATGAGGACATCAATCTTCTACACAGGCTCCGACTTAACCTCTACACTTCCTCCCATCTAACAACACCGCGTATGGAAGTCTTAAGTTTGCAACGCTTAACTAATTTTTTTCCAGTTTCGCTTCGACTAGCTTACTATAGACCTATGTTTCTGCCGTATGTTTTATCGTAATCAGATGTCGGCCAACTAAGGGGAAATCTCATTAGATAACTGATCAGATTCCTTCGAAAGGATGATTTGTTTAGCGCAGAAAAAAGGCCTTTACAGGGAAATAACATTTGTGTGAATAATTTGTGAAAAGGGAGTACCACTTTTTCTGGGGCAGCCCATTATACGAGATATTTTTTACTTCATTAAGTCGTTTGATAGGTCAACCTATAGCGGATTAATGAAAAATGTGCGCTTTGGTGGCATATGGGCTAAATCTGAGTGACTAGTCAAACTGAAAAGCCTGAACTTCCAAATATCTTGAAGACGTGTATTAAGTTTAATTCAATTCAATGCAACTCACTATACATAGGTTTGGTATGCACAAATATCCAGGCAAATTTATAGATGAGAAACATGTCCTCAGCTCATTGGGATGATTTTCTACGTAACAACCAGTTCAACTAATCTCCGTCTTATTGTTGTTAGAAGGGAAGAGATTATATGGAGTTTTATGAAATGGAGGTCAAGGAAACATCTGCCATACCACTGCTGCAGTCCATCCGAATTAATCTGTCACTCAATCCCATCCTTTATTGCATATATTTTTGACATATTTTGCTATGTTTAGCTTCCTTTAGTTTTTTAGTGTTCAATCTCGCTAATATTCAATTTTCCGGGTCGCTTTTAGGGTCATTCACGGATCTATTTGAACCCATTCACGGAATTCGAACATTTTTTCACAACGTCATTTTTTTCACTGTCCAATTTCCTATCAATTAGCCCCAACCATATAACCCCTACTTCCACCGGTCCCGTAGGGCACGATCTGATCAGTTATCCTTCGCATTCGGGATGGGGCCACATATTGCGTCGTTGCCATGTTCTTAATTCCCTTAAAGTTTTTCTTTATTGATATAGATACTTGGCCCATTCATTTGCGCCGGCTTGCGCGTGATTAGTTATCATTCGTAAGGTTCAATAATTTTCTTCATTTACGTCGTCTACGGTACATCGACGACTGCGCCAATGTGTTGGATTTTCCTGTCGCCATATTTGCTGAGACGTCCCCCATAATGAAGCCGGTGGTAAGCATCTATAGGCAAACCTAAACCGATTAGATCGATGGTCAAATCATATCTTCTAGCCGTCTATTTTGAATAAGTGTGTCCTGCGGATCGGCATAACCAGATCTTTGAATTCCGGCGTTTGCCAAATGAATATCACGTCAATTAGGAAGGTGGGCGTTCAGAAGGTTTGGGGTGTGTGCATCACCACTTAAATTAGACCATTGCTACGATTTTCTAAAGCAGCAGGGTCTGCATTATCAACCCTAAACCTTGTCAAGTGGGCTTTCGTTACGCTTGGCGGCGACCGTCTCGCCAAAGTCTTTGGAAATTTTTGTGGCCACAGGCTTAGAAACCCTAAAGCCCCAAAGGCATCGGTGCCTTCAAAAATATTCAAGATGGGCAGCCAAACTGGTCAGAAAAGAGCCGAGTGTCTTGTGAAACATGGCTGCACGCTCTTGGTCTTTTTACTATATTTAATAGTCTACCAGACGACCTTTCTGAGGTACATACACTCACCGATGCTATTGATGCTTGGAATATATCCTGTTGCTGAAAGGTTTTGACATTTTCTGCATCTCTTGAATGTTATTTACCATAAATTATTGATATAACTCTGGTTGTTCCAACGAGTAGGGCAGCCAATGATGCTAACCTCACGTTCCCCTCAAATGGACTGAGCTGAAGGCCTCTTGTTGGAAGCTCAGCCAGCCGTTTGAGAGCGTGTCAAATCAACCTCACCTGATGTGTTTCAGACATCGGTCGCTTATGCTGAACAATGTCTAAAACTGTGCGGAAGCCAACGTCGATTGCGAGACAATGTCATTCACTTCCATGACTATATTTGTGCAAAGAGGTGCGCAAAACTCAGAGGCGTTAATAATGGCGATCACTTCGGTCCCGTCTCCACTAAAGCGGTGATCGCACTTAAGGGTATGCAAAAACATGAGAGACAGTGTGTCGCGTCGGCCGATGACCAGCTTATGTTCGCTAATTCGTGTCGCAAGTCGTTGGCTGGTATGGCTGACATAAACGCATAAGCGGTTAGCACGCGGAATGCGGTAATTGACATTTATTTACGGTTACTTGCGTAAGCAAAAATGTACTCGGGAGGATACTGTGTGCATACAGGACTCCGGCTTGCGAGCAACGAAGATACCAAACCGGTTTAGCTGTCCGCTGATCGCTTCGGAAACTCCTGACGTGTTGGCTGGAAGCAGAATTTCCTTGGCATAATATCTGAGTTGTATTCGAACCTTTGTGGTTTTATCCGGCGTCTGAGATAGTTTTTCACAAAGCTGACTAGGTCCGCATTAAACTGGAAAAGCCGGTAGAAGGAAGCCTGTGAATGCACTAGTTACATCTAGTAAGTAGCAGTATCTTTATACACAAACAGAGCAGGGACCGGTATGCAATTTGCCCGTAGATATTTTTCAGGGACGGACCAAAATCAAGGTCGGGTAGAATCATTTGCGTCTTTGGCGCGTTGCATCGATACCACTTTACAACTCTGCTAGGTGGATTATTCCACTGTTTGATTGTGTACTTTGCGACGCCAAATTGAAGGCTTTATTCTGTAAATTAAGATTAGATCACTCATTTTTGCCTCGAAGACAAAGGGATGAATTACCGCCCTCCAGGCTTTCTGGATGATAAACGCGTATTGGGCTTTTGCACGTCTAAGTTTTCGGTCTCGTACTTTTCTGAGACCATTCACGATATTTTTTCATCGTGGTCTCAACAACCCTACTTCGACGTGCCGCAACCCCTTTGAAATGTCCTTAGTGCAGCTTCTAATTTTCTCACGGTCTAAAGACATCAAATAGGGGATTCTAAATCGCTCTGAATAAAGATAGTAGTACGCTTTATGAAGCCAATATAGGCAAGTGAGTATCTTTCAGGAAATATCGATTGGTAGGGTTGCAGTTCGTTGAACACAAATGGTGGAGGGGGCAACCTTGTGCAAAGCTTTATTTCGACTGTCTATTCTAGCGGCCGGACTCAAAGTTTCCACACGTGTCCTCAGGGAAACTGCCACTGTCGATTTCACTCAACCTACCTATTTCTCTGAACGACTATCTCGTTCAAGGTGGCCACCTTGCTTTCGCCAACAACACAAATTGCAACACAGATGTCTGGCCTTTCAGGCCTTCCGCTGGATTCATTTGAAAAAAATCTCTTAACTGAGTTTCTCGATATGGTTTTTCTGGACGGAATCTGTTTAAGCTGTTTTTTGCAGTCCAGTATGATTTTAAGAAGTCGCATTTGCAATATTCACATCTCGTGCCTATCCACTCTGCCTAGCAGGGCATTTCAAAATCTATAATTCCATGTTCGAGTGGAGTAGTTGGTCTAGGGGACCATGAAAAATAGTAAGATTCGGCAAAATTCATGAGTCAGGTGTGACAAAGTCCGAAGAAGGCAAACCCCGAGGCGTGGTCTTTATCTTGATTTCCTGAGAAATTCTCGGAATAACAACCATACCGATAGACAAAGCCTACTTTTGTATGTAAGTGCCTATTGCTGGGTTTGTCTACTGTTCCGTCAATTCTTCGAGAGATTTGGTCGAGGTTGATAGTAAGTGTAGGGCAAATAAACCAGCTCTGTCCTTCTATGTAACGAGAAGGCTCGCATTGGCCGCGGTGGGCAGTACTGTCGTTGGATTTGTTGAACCCCCGCTTGGGCGTTCTATGCTGGCTATCTTCTTTGACTCGTTGGATATTTGTTGGTGTACCTCATGTGCTCATTCCTAGCTTCTGTGTTGATATGAGCATGCCTACAGTGTGTGTAACTAACCGCTGCGGGCTTCAAACTCTTTTGAACATCAAACATTTTCTCTTCAGCCGCTCTATCTGGTAAATCTCTTTTCTAGCTTAACGACTCGGAGAACAAGATAACTACCCCCAAGAGCGTGGTTCCTTCTCGTATTGCACTCTATTTACGGTGGTTAAATACTTTTACCGATAAAATCGACCAATGGGTTTATGCTCGACTGAACCAGCATCATTTGAGGATTTGATGCAAATCCGGGGGTAGTAACACACCACATGCAGACGGTACACATATTCAACATCGGTACCATTTAGATCGTGCGTCTCGGCGATGATCACATAGTAAGGCAGGATCAAAGAGCCTTAAAGTCAATCGCCCTACAAGCTTTCCTCTCGCCTAGCTGGTTTTTCGAGCCTGCTAGGCAGGGAAGAGTGAAGGCGTAAAACAATCGGGCCGGCAGTTTTCAACACGGTCACCGAGGGCGGGACCGATACAAATTGCGGCAGTTAGCATTGGCGATCTACTCGCCAGAAAAGATGTGTCATACAATGAGACCTGTGTACACGGCTCTCGAGTTCCTGAGGATGGGTATCCTACACACCGATCGAAACGCCTGAATAAAGGTAGATCCTGGTGAACGCCACTTCATCTTTTGGGTGTGTAAATATTTGTTCGCAGCGAATACGACAAAACACATCGGAAAATGGGACACTCAGCGTGTATGTAGGCTCTGGTTTCACTGCGGGTCGAGTAAGTGCTAAGTTTGACGTTAGAGTCCCCCAAATCCAAACGTAGTGCAAGCGGAAAATCCGATATACTGGTAATATCAAAAGAAGAGTGGGCGTTCACCGGGAGGGGTTTATTTGAGATCCGACGTTTCGGGTAGTTTACTCGTCTACCCATCTTCAGGGACTGGGAGGTCCTGTGCACAGCACTCCTTATTATGGCGCCCTTTGTCCAATGTGTGATCCGCCAATGCCGCCTGTGTGGCTGCATCCCACCCGCATGTCACCGTGACCTGAATTGCCCCCGTCGGCCGCGGTGATGACGGACGGCCCCGATTGTCTCGCGCCGTGACTGTCCCCCGTTAAGAAGGTTCGTAAAGTCAGATAAGGGGGAGGCAAATTGATGTGGCGGTTGACAGAGCGGTCAGTGGACATCCAGGCTTCTTGCACTTGCCTTGCTGTGTGATCGCTGCCCCGGCCCACAGTCTCAACGGCGTCAAAGTTGAAGATGTGTCCCATTTGCGCGGCATGGGTTGCTACCTCCGACTTTGGGTCCAACCTTTGCACGGCCAACTTATGCTCGTGCATTCGCGTTTGCAGCCGTCGGCCGGTTTCCCCAACGTAGTTGCAACTTCCGCAGCTGTGTTGAAGTCGGTAGACAACGGCCGACATCTCCTGCTTAGGGATCGGATCTTTCGGCCGCATCACTTGCCGGCGGATTGTTGAGTCAGGCCTGTGGGCAACACCTATTCCGAGTGGCGCGAGTGATCGAGCCACGACTTCGGAGACCCCTTTAATGTACGGAATGCTCCGCCACGAGTTTGGCTGACTATGCTCCTCGTCCCGTTTCTTTGGCTGCCTCCGGCTTCGTTCAATGAATGCCCGCGGATAGCCATTGGCTCTGAAAAGTTCTCGGAGGAGCTTTATCTCATTCAGTTTGGCGGCTGGCGTGCTGCAATGAGTTTCCACCCGTCGGTACAGCGTGCGGACACAGCTTAGTTTGTGTTGTGGCGGGTGGTTGCTGTTGTAGCTGAGAATTTGCAGCGTGTTCGTCGGTTTTCTGTAGACCGACGTCGCTAGTTCGCCATTTGGTTGGCGGCAGACGAGAACATCCGAGAATGGAAGTTTGTCCTCGACTTCCTCTTCCATCGTTAACTGTAGATCGGGCATGATTGAGTTCAGTACTTCCGCATAGTAGTTGATTTTATCCTGGTCTATGATCACGAAGGTGTCATCAACGTAGCGTGCCCAAAACTTGGGTTTGTACTCCTCGAATAGTCGTCTCTCGAGTTTTTGTAGAACCGCCTCGGCAATGAGTCCGGAGATTGGTGAACCCATTGGAGTGCCCTTGATCTGCTCGTATGTGGTCCCTTCGAAGGTAAAGAATGTCTTGAGACAGTGCCCCATGAGTTCTATGAGATCCTGAGCTGTGGGCTGGCCATCGCCCCCGTCATAATTTTGACGTAGCAGGTCACTGAGCGTTTCCACCGCAAGGGCCTGTGGTATGGACGTGAAGAGTGAGACAACGTCAAAAGACACCATCCTTCGATCGTGACTGCCCCTATTTTGTCAAGGAATTGTTCCGCTGAGTGCACCGTTGTTTGTGAGCCTGCAGTTAGGAATCTTAGCTTCTGAAATAGCCAGCTTGCAAGCCCGTATGTGGGTGTGCCTCGGAGCGAGACGACAGGACGGAGGGGAACATCTGGCTTGTGTACTTTTGGGAGACCATAGACTCTCGCCATAGCGGTTTCTGCGGGCTTTGCCATATACCAGTCTTTGACGGTGATGACCTTGTCCTTTTTTAGTCGAGCCAGAATTCTGTTAACCTTTGCCACTAGGGACTTTAGACTGGCGGCGTCGCTGACTTTGTAGGACTCTCGATCGTTGAGGAGCAGGAGGGTTTTGCGTCGGTAGTCCACCTTGTCGAGGATGACGGTTGACCGGCCTTTGTCAGCAGGCTTAATAACTATTTCGGTGTCCGCTTCCAGCTCCCTTAGGGCCTTTTGTTCATCTCTTAGCGGGGAATGGGTTTTCCGGTGCGACATGAGAAGTGAAGAGACTTGATGTCGAAGGAGGTCCTTTACCTCGTCTGTGGCGCCGGTTTGACGAAGCACTGATTCGAAAGAAGCAATGAAGGTGACCGGGTCGGCGTCAGTTGTGTTAAAACCAGATCCACGTTGTAGAACTTTTGTTTGGGTCACAGTAAGTTGTTTTGAGGAGAGGTTATGTACTATAGTTTGTTCGGTTTCCTGGTCTTGTGCGGTCTGCAGTGTCATGAACTTTATCGATAAATCCGCATCTCTGTTAGCACGTTAGCACGGTGAACGCCCACTCTTCTTTTGATATGCCACCTGGGAATAGGATTTTCACTACTATTGATACTGGTAATAATTTAACATATACAGCCGAGGTATTTTGGCAGATTTTGAATAATTCATATTGACCCAACTGAAGCCTGCCCCTTACTGCGTTCGTTCGAATCCCACCGAGGCGCCGAGTTTTTCACAGTTGGGTCAATATGAATATACCGCCTACCCAACGCATTTAAGTAGCGGGACTTTATCCATGTTGTGCTGCAGAAGGCCAATCTCGCCAGAATGTGAGAAAGGCCTTAGTGATGTCGCCTTGATGTCGTTTTGGGGAACAAATCTGGAGGAGTAGAAGAAATTCAGTCAAAATAGTTCGCCGATGAAGCAATATTTTGTCCGGACAGAGTGATTAAGGAACCATGTTTTCTGGTGCCGGCGACCCACATCGTTTTGTTTCGATTCGAAGGCAGTATGGTCCGAAGTCAGTTGTTTCTTGTCTAGAACATGTCCCTGTCCTAAGGGATGGACTGGAGTGGGGGAGGGAGGTTATCACTCAGACCGAGTGATTGTTCATCTTCTATTCCAATTACGGCTTATTACTAATACTGGGAGTTTTTGCAGTACAGGTAACGTGCTACGCCACTTGCGTTGATAAGGCTTTAGAAAACGTCACACTGGAAAACCGCTTCGCGTTACTTCTTTTTGGAGGACTGGGGTGAACGAGACCACTTGATGAAATCCCTGACGTAAGCCCGCCATTTGTCCCCGCCTCTCCCGTCCGATTCAAACGGCAGGGCGAAATAATTTCGTTTATCGGAAGTCCTCTTTCTGGAAATACACACAAGTTGAAAATGAAAAACCACCTTTCCCGGTGCTTGACTATTCCTTTCATTTCTAGTCACATAGACCTTATTGTATTGCCGACACGTTAAAAGTCTAGTAACTGAACCCAAGGATATTTTCTCGCCCTCCCCCCTCCTATCTCCTTCATGGACATGTACCCAACAGAACATAACTACCACGTAAATGGCTACTTCTGGTTTATTTGAGGTCGTCAACTAATTATACCTACAATCAGTCTGGATCGTTGATAACGTCATTCCCAATTGCAGCGAAGGAGTTATAAGCCCATGATCAGGAGTGTCTCGTGCGACTCAGTGGCAAAGAGGTCCCTAGTTCAGGCCCTCCTGACCTGAGCTTGGGGTATGCCTAACCGCTGATGATTACTAGACCCCAAACGATCATCAGAGTTTTCTCAGAGTTTTTACTCGCAATACCTCCCGCTGACTGGTTACTAGTGACTGATCGCTTTGGAGGGTTCCAAACAAGCCCTTAAGTAAAAAAACAAAGCCGAGCATCATGTCCACACAGTACAATGACAGGGAGAACACGCGGTACAGTTTTTTGAGATTAAATAAACATGTCTTGCTAGAAAAAAGTAGCAGATTTGCGCGAATTATAGATGAAACAAATAACTTTCCGCAGGTGCATATCTCGTGAAATACAGACAGCAAAGAAACTCTTAAGCTTTTCTGATTCCTTCAGAAATTAACGTGTGAATCTGGCGTACACACTTCGGGACAAACCTTTCTAGGGCCAGTTCAAAATTGTGAGCTGAAATCCATGGTCATGTCGAAGTCCGATGGTTGACTACTCGAAGATTCCCAAGTCAGAAGGCGGGAAATAGAATTAGCTGGACAGGCTTTACTGGTTCGATGGAGTACAAACGCAACTGAGCAAGCAGTTTCAGCGAGCGTTCCAACAAGCCAAGCCACGGCCGAAGCGCATACGCATGACCTCAGTCCGGGTGCAGCCAATCAGTGAAGGGATAAGTGTTGAACGGTGCCATGGTGTCCGGCGAGCTGAAGACTGTCACAAGATCAGTGACGGACAGACGAACCGAAGGCGACAGCCACGCTCTGACAACCACGCGGACGGACTGTCACAAACTCCAGCAGAATAACCAGGTAATACTCATAAGCTGTCAGCGGCCAGTCAGCAGTATAAAAATGTTGCGTAATTCACCATACTGCCGCCACAGGTACTAGCTACGAGCCCAGACAGTTGTTTTGCCGATTTTGCGCCTGATGCATGACGTAGTTGCGAGGGCTTCGGCTCATCTCCGCACCCCCTGGCGTTCTCCAAATGTTTTTTTGATGTATGCTCAAAGTTCTGGCGTTGCAACTTTTTTATTTCCCTGAGTGCAGTTTGAAAAAATTATCTGTCACAGACCTTCTCAGGTTCGGTTTGAAAGTTGATATAAACACTTAGACTGGAATCCATCAGCTTCGGAAGAGCCAGTGCGCAATGTTCATGAGCCGCCAACAGGCAGTAGTCGATAATGAAAAGGCCCCCAAATCAAAAGTCGGAGAGACAGAACTGGCAGGATGATATTCACCGTGGCATGACGCGCAGAAGCAGCCCAGAGGCTAGCGGCACCAGTTCTTCCAGCAAAGCCAAGAACCAGTCGCACGCCTTATTACTCACGGCACGATGGGTGCGCACGCGCATCAACCCTGTCCGTCTGCAACCAATCATCGAGAGACAAAACGTCGATCAGTTTCTCGCTGTCGCCACATCGAGTGAGTGAGTCACGCGGGCGCTCAGCTAACAATGAGTGTCGGATGGACCGAAGGCATTGCGAGTAAGCGGGAGCCTTGACGACTACGAGTGACTATTCGACCGGCGCAAACGGCGATGTCCACTGTGCGTTCCACAGGTGCAGAGACGATGGCCTGCGGAGGAAAATAGTCCGTAGTTAGGCAGACGTGCGCGGCATCCGTCGCACCCACCTGGTCAAGGTAACCAGAGCCGGGCTCGGGAGCAATGGCCGACACGACTGAACAGACCGTCAACGCCTACCACACACGACCTGGTTCTCGCGACAGGTACTAAGTTTTCACAGAGGACAGCTCAGGTTGCACGTGCGTGAGAGTACCATAAAAACGGCATTAGGAAAGAGCCATTTCAGTCGGACTCCAAATCCTCCAGCCTCCAGTCTTACAGCCACTGTAGAAAATTGGGAGCTACCACAGCATATCACGTCACACCGCGGTGCCGTTGTCCATTTATAGAATGACAACTTTAGAGGATGTCAATTACCTAACTCAGATAGCAACCTAAGAGGCATGATTAGCCTAGGGACTAGAGAACATATGAAGACTTTTGCAACCAAAAAAGGAAGGCATTTTACTCAACCACAGTTTAACTCCCCTTGAAAGGAAAAGGATAGGCACAAGATATTATCAACCACAATCGGGCAGACAGTCCTGTCCCGGTGCTGGTGATAGACATACAATGACATTGTGGGCTTACGTACTATTCAGAAAGCCTTCCTTAATGATATAACCCACTTAAATGGGCGTAAAGTCTCGACATCACTATAAGGGTGCTTGTACGTTGGAACAGCTCGTAAGAGTACAGTCGGTAAGTTGGTGAACCAGTAAGTCTGGTGGCAATTACGCAAGACGGACGGAACTTCCACATCTTTCCGATCACTCGTTCCCCCTGTATTGAAGACTATGAAATATCTTTGAGCTTATCTGCGCAATAACTATGCAAAGAACTCGTGAATCAGTGAAGAAAGTAGGCTGCGTCTTCGGCATTGGTAATTTTGAATTGAGCACTTTTTTCTGAAAATTCCACCGATTACCGGACCCCTGAAAACGGCAAAAAGGGAACCCGATACCGAAATCCCGTCTCACCGTTAATGCTTCATTTACAGCGCACGCTGTCAAGTGGCAAAACAAAGGCGAGAAAACAGTCCAAAACGCGAGAAACACAAGTTGCCGCACAGGTGGATTATATCTGAATGCGATGGGGAAGCCATACGGGTATGTGACACACAGAAGACAGAGGTTTTGCGCAACCTCGCCTACTGCGCCCGACCTCATTATAGACCTACTCGACTCGAACACCCCACGGACGCACGACGGTAGAGGGGTGACAAAGTGAGGCTGACTCCAAGGCAGCCCGCCCCCAAATCGGTCCGACGTTCAGTTTCCTCATTACAACAAAGCTGGTTCACTTTAAATTGTTATGCAGTACCAAAACATGGCTTGAAAGATTTTCCACCGCTAAGATAATCCACTCCCTCTTCGACCAAAGGGTTACACGGTACCGGCTCCTCCTCCTCTTCCTCCTCCTCCTCCTCCTCCTCCTCCTCTTCCTGAAGTGTCTTTTCTGTCAACTCTCTTCGATGCGAGTTCAGCAGTTTTCAGATCTGGTCCGTGCTACTTTAGGAACAAGAACGTGTGTGTGAGGCGCGCATTGACTAAGCATCGTACCACCAATAGCTTCTCCAGTCACCCTCGAACATGGTGGATAGCGGAAGACGGAGCGAAGCAGATGACGTGAAAATTCCCACCTTTATGATCAAACCCACACGCAGGTCGCTACAACGCTCTCGACGCAGTGTTCATCGTCACTGAGGCTTAATTCAACATCATCATTCTCGCTGTCGGCGTCCACAAAAAATTTCGGCTAATTCAAATGCGTCCGCACTGCAAGAGCGGGTAAGGAACAGTGGGTTTTTACACTGGGTTGCCTTCAATCACAGCTACATCATCCTCCTTCGGTGAAACACAAGCAAGGACAACCGAGTGAGGTTCCTCCAGAAAAGGAATTATTAATAAACGCACTGAGTCAGGACTTTCGGATCATAGAAAGAATTCCGTCAGACCTCCAAAGCACATGCAACGCAACCATACTTTTTCCGATACTTGTGCATAATTCCTCTATTAATTTATAGGAAGGCAGCCAGCAAATAGCCTGGCCGGCCTGGTCGAATCCGACACAGAGCTGAGCCAGAATATCATTTTGGCGATTCTGTGTTACTGTTCAGGCCGCGACCACCCCTCGGGGCTGCTACCAAGTTTAACCGGCCGTGGCAAGGCCCGTACACTAACTTTTGCTTATCCTTCCCGGCACGTTTGTTCTTCGCGACCAGCAAAGGCCTACCATCGATG